CACGTCTCTTCACCTTGGGAGCCACGTGGTGCGCAGGCAACTCACGCTGACGTGCTGTAGCCTACGTGTCACGTGATGGCTGCCCCCCTGGGCAAAACCCTGCAGTTGGTTTGTGAAAATCTTACTTGTCAATGTTCTTATTGCTATAATTATATGATATAATGTAATAATTATTTTTTTTATTCTTTTTTTTTTATTTTTTCACATTTCCTAATTCAGTGTATGTAATAATAATTTAAGTATTTTAATAACATTAAGCACTATTAAGTAATTATTTAATTGCATATAACTCACACACTGGAAACAATAAAAAATAACAAATTTTTCATTAAATTAGAAAGGATCGTTTTGTTTTCAAAGTTTTTATTCTGTTTTTGTAATAAAACACTGTGGCCCCAAGGAATATTTTTTTTCCTAATGTGGCAGTCAATGTGTTAAGATGCCCCAGTATCCTTATAATATAAAACCTCTCTTGTCATCAACCTGTCCCCAGTTGTTTTGAGCAGTGACAACCACAAGAATGTTAATCAAAGCAATCTGGGGCACATGCCTCCTTCTCTTTCCCCACAGTGTGACTCTGGTCACCTGCCCAGCTTCCTCGAGGGTGACTTCAGCCCGAAGGACAGTATCCTACAGGCAATAGCAGTTGACAGGGAAAGACAGTCCCCATCTCCTTCTGTGGCCCCTCAGTCTCCCCACCCTGTGCTCCAGTCCCCTGGGTCCTTGTGCAGCCTCTGACGTGCACAGCCCTGCCTCCCACACACAGAGGTCCCTAGTCAGGCCTTTCCTGGCTGACCTGAGGACCAAGGGTGGTGGGACAGAGGAGGGAGAGCACGCACAGGTGTGCACTGCCCAGCCGGCCACCGGTCTCCACTGACGCTAGATCTTGGAGACTGTCTTTAAAGAGGCTGTGTGGGCTTCGGAAGCTTAGACCAGTACATCCAGAAAGAGGAAAAGAAAAGGATTTATCTGCCAACCCCTGCCTCTTGTGGGTCGAACATTCACCCCATAGAGAGTCCAACAGTCCTGCACTTCTAAGGCCAAAGGTGTGGGGTCAAGGGGAGGGGGGTCAGCTGTCGCAGCAGCTGGAATAAAACAAGCGGCAAAGCCCTGGTGCGGCTGAGAGGGTCTTAGGTGGTGCACTGCAAAGGATCTGACACAGCTATAACTGAAAAGGAGTGAGAGCCTCTACTATAAAATGAAAGTCACGAGCACTGAGCTGGATAATCCCAAAGGACCTTCTCAGAGAAATCTGAAAGGTTTCTCGAAGCTGGCCACTGAAACTGCAGCTCAGAGAGCTGAGGCCAGTTGCCCCTCTGCCGTGCAGGGACCACGGCCCCAGAGGGGCGCAAACAAGATCCTAAAAATTGTATTCCGCAGTGCCCCAAGAGTTGGCACCAACTTTACCTCCTGTATTCAAATTTCCATACACTCTAAGAGGTAATGCATATGATGTTTTTAAAGTGCCCTGGCAGGATGGGAAAGAGAGGGGCTGATAATCCCACCAGACTGGGGAATTCTCATCTTGTTCGTTCAGGAAGGCCTGGCCCCCCCTGCCAGCTTGTACTCCCCTCCACCCAGAGGGCAGCTGCCGGCTGCAGGCAGGAGGCAGAAGGCAGGAGGCAGATTTGTTGGTCTTTAAGGGATTGGAGGATTAAATGGGTCAGAAAAGCTTCCTTTGCACAGATGGCTGGAAGCCCACCACGTATTAAATCGATGATTACATTATGGGCACCTCATGTCCCTCCCTCCAGAGCCCAGCAGGTTTGCAAAGCCTGCAAAGGATGAGAGATTGGGGTCAGAGCAGGAAGCCCCACTCTTTCTTCTCTGGTGTGTATCTAGATCAATCTGTGGATCAGATTCATCCGAATTAAACGTGGGACCCAGCCCAGGCATTGTCAATAGCTGACCTTGAGCACTCTACTTCAGGACTTGGGTGTCCTCTGCTGCACAATAGGGACATCACCTGCTGGCTCATGACAGTGAGGATCAAAAGAGAGAAAGCAAACTGCAAAGCAAATGTGTGCTTCAGGGAGCCAGGGTGGGGACTGAGGTGTGGCCTGTGGGCTGCTAGAGCCCAGAATGGGGCTGATGGAAAATGACCTTGAGCCAGGCAACTCCAGCCACCCACAGCTGAGACAAGACATACAGGTTCTGACCAAGGGGGAAAGGAATAAACTCAATAAAACTCTCCCAAGAAAAAATACAGCAAACAAAATAGAATGGAAATAGGCATAGCTCAACCCCTCACATCGTGGAGGAAAACGTGAGGTCCAGAGAGAGACTGTCATAAATGACTAGCGACAGGCTCTCGGCCAAGTGTTTCTCATGCATTACTTCATTTAATCATCACAACCCCAAAGCGGTAGGTGCAATAGGCCGCTTCTTGTTATAGATGAGTAAACTGAGGCTGAGAGGGGTGGAGCAATTTACGTGTTACAGCAAGTTTGCAGGGGCCCAGGGCTGAAGTCCAGGCAATCCGCGCTGCAGATGGTTCTCAGATTTGGGCCTTTGTTCTCTTTGCTCATGGGGATACTGCCCTCTTAGGTTCCGGTTGTCATCTATACTCCCACAACTCACAAGTCTGTCCTCCTGCTCCCAGGTCTCACCTAAGCTTCAGACCATGGGTCCAACAGCCTTCCTGACCCATCTCAAGCTCAATGTGCCCAAGGTTGAGTCTTCATTTACCCTAAATCTGCTCCCACCCACTTCCGAGGTGGTGTCTTCACCATCCACCCAGATGCAAAACCTGGCCACCACCCGAACTTGTCGCACCTCACCCCTACATCCAAGCACCAAGTCCCAGCCACAGTGCCTGCCACGTGACTCCTGATGTCACAAACTCTTCTTCCCACTGTTATGGTTAGCAGTCTAGGCCCCTCTCTAGAACTGCAACCCACGTGCTGCACCAGGTGCCACAGGTGCAAGCCTCCAGCCCTGCCTCCTCTCATCCACCCCTACACTGCGGATGGGAGGTACTGGGATGCGAAAATGATGTGCCTCTCCCCTGCCCAACATCCTTCATCTGCTCCCTATTACCTTCATGATAAAGGCCCCCCCCATCTGCACCTGTCCCTCTCCCAGAGAGCTGCTGCTCTTCCTCCCTGCCCTCTGCTCCCATCACTGAACTTTCCATTCCCCAACAAACACCAGCCTCTCTCCAGACACTGGGCCTCCCGGCAGGCTGCTCCCTCACCCAGAACACTGGTCCCCACCCCCTATGTTTGGCCAGCTCCTGCTCACACTAGAGTGTCAGCTCGGAAGTCCAAGTCACAGCTAGGATGTCCGTCCTCCTGAAGCCCTGTGTGACCCCCAACCTCTGTGTCTCTGCCCTCACAATACTTTCCCCTGACACCACTTACCAGTAAACCCGAGAGTGAGCACGGGTGGGTAGGGCTTGTCTGCTCCACCCGCACAGAGTGCCGCGCACAGCAGGAGTTAGCAGAGTTTGACCAACGAGAGAGCAGAGAGACTTTTCCAAAGCCACAAAATCTAAGACAGGGTGACAAAGCCATGACTGGAATCTGGACCACCCCACCCCACCTTGGAGAGAATTCGCTGGTTCCCTTGCGTCCTAACGTCCTAACCCACAATTACTTAGCTCTGTTACAGCAAGTGTCACAGCGGGTGGTCCTGAGGACAAACCCAGCAGCGCACTGAGAGTCGGAGAATCAAAGTTTATTCCCAGGCTGGCTCAGAGGGGTCTCACCACCAAATTCTGAGCCCAGTCTACCTGATTTTTCCCACTTTTGTTAAGTTGGGGTGGTCCTAGGAGTGGGGTATCAGGTGGTTAGTTGACATGCCAGGTAATAGGTTCAGTGTTATGTTGATGCCAGATAGTAGATTAGTTGATGGGTCAGGTAACAGGTTAGTATTATGCTGATGTGGGTCTTCCCCGAGTGGTGAGGTCTCCGGTGGCTGATGCCAAGTAATGGGGATTTCCCTTATCAGCTCCCAACATCAAGAGTCACAGGGTTGACATTTTAAGAAGACACAACTTTCATCTGAAGAAGGAAGGAGCCTAGCACAGCTTGGAAGTATGTGAAACCTTCTGCCTTCCTGTCCCCCAAGAAATGCTGCCTCGCCTCCTCCGGAGCGCAGCATTCGAGTCATCTTAGTCTCCTCCCAGGTCCTGACCCCGCCCCCGCGCAGTACCCGGCCTCGGCCAGCCTAGGCGGATTCCGGCGGCCAGGCAGGGGACCCTAACAAATCCCAGCCCCCACCGAGTCACGCGCCCCGCGCGGGCAGGCCCACCCCGCCCGCCGCGCGCACAGGACGCTGTCCTCGCCGCGCCAGCCCCTCCCAGCGCCGGGCTCGGCCCGCCCCTCGCCCTCCTCCCTCCTTTCCCTCCCCGTCCCTCCTTCCTCTCCTCCCCTCCCCCTCCTCTCCCTCCGCCCCCCGCCCCGCCGCCCCGCGTCCCGCGGCGGTCCCGCCCCCGCGCGGCGGCCGACCGGCTCTCCCAGGCAGGCGGCGAGCCGGCCGCGGGCAGCCATGGAGCGGCGGCGCGGAGGCGGCAGCACGGGAGCGGCGCGGCGGCCGGGCGCACAGGCGGGCGCCTCCTTCCTGCAGGCCAGGTGGGCGCGCCGGCGGGGTGGCGCGGGCGGCTGCGCGCCGGGCCCGGTCCGCGCACGTGACGCGGTGGGGGCGGCCGGGGCGGACTCCCCGTGCGGCGCGGGCCGGAGCGGAGCCCGGGAGGCTTGGGGGCGCGGAGCCCTCGCGGCTGCTCGCTCGACCCCCCTCCGCGGCCCCTTCTCTTCCTGGGGAGCCGGGGGCCCGCCGAGGCTCAGCGCCCCCTGCTCCGCCGCAGCTCGGTGGGGGGAGCCCCCGCCCGGAGTGGGAGGTTTTCCTTCTCCGGGCGCAGCCCCCACGACCCGGCCGGTGCTAGGACAGTCGCGCCGCCGGGAGAGCTCCAGGGTCAGGGAAACTTGGGTGGGGGTGGCAGGCCACGCATGAGCTCATTCGGGCCTCCAGCTCATCTGCAAGTTTAGGGTGCCACCTCCAAGTTCTCGGAGTCCCCGCAGCCCTGAATAGGGCTTGGATTCTGCTGTTAATCAGAGGCTCACTCCTTCCCCTGGGAAACCCAGGAAGGTGAGAATGTTATGGAAGAGACTTCAGAGACGTGTGGCGGCGCCCATCTCTGGATGGATGAATGAGGAACCGTCGTCTCACCAAAAGCAAACAGTAGGCAGAATCGTCCTGTCCGGTTTCTAGGGTGCTTCGACACCCTCTGCTGCAGCTGTGCTTTACTTACATGTCTCTACTGACAGGGTGCTCATTGCCTATCAAGGTAACCCATTCCAGTTTCCACCTGACCTGTTGACAGTTGTATCATGATCAAAGCGTTATAATTAATGCCCATGATTAAATCAAATAACGCAGAAGGGCTTAGAGTTTTAAAAAGCAACAGTCCACTGTTCCACCTCTCCCTGGTACCACAGATAATCACATTAGCTTCTTTTAGCTATTTCTACCAATTAAATTTATATTTTTAAATAATAGACTAACCATAATAACAAACATTGTGTAGTACTTTCTGTGGACCAGATAGATCCTGCTCGGGGTTTTTAGATGTATTAATTCAACCCTTGAGACAGGATCTAGTATTATCCCCATTGTACAGGGGAGAACATTTAGGCCCACAGAAGTTAAGTAACTTAAGATCTGGTTAGTGGCAGAGCTGGGATGTGAACCCAGGCAGTCTTCAGAGTTCATACTCTTAAAAGCTGTGCTCATATGATACTTCTTAGTTTATTACTAACTGACTTCCCTGTGTGATTTGTCCCACTTATGCCTCCTTCATCCTTCTAAAATGATTCTTTCTTTTTTTTTTTTTTTTTTGAGACAGAGTCTCACTTTGTTGCCCAGACTAGAGTGAGTGCCTTGGTGTCAGCCTAGCTCACAGCAACCTCCAAACTCCTGGGCTCAAGCAACCCCCCTGCCTTCGCCTCAGCCTCGCCCGAGTACTGGGACTACAGGCATGCCCACCACATGCCTGGCTAATTTTCTATATATATGGTTGACCAATTTCTTTCTATTTATAGTAGAGGACAGAGTCTCGCTCTTGCTCAGGCTGGTTTTGAACTCCTGACCTGGAGCGATCTGCCTGCCTCGGCCTCCCAGAGTGCTAGGATTACAGGCATGAGCCCACGTCCTGGCCTAAAATGATTTTTATCATCATTTTTGGTTTTCCTATTGTTACCTTTGTAGCACCTTAGGGATATGCATATAACATTGTTTCTTTGGTCAGCCCATAGGCAGTATCTCGTGATTTTGTTTTTATTTTTTTATTTTTTTGGAGACAGAGTCTTACTCTGTTGCTGGCTAACAGTGCCTTGGCGTCAGCCTAGCTACAGCAACCTCCAAACTCCTGGCTAAGCAGTCCTTCTGCCTCAGCCTCCCAAGTAGCTGGAACTACAGGCATGAGCCACCATGCCCGGCTAATTTTTTTCTATATATACACTTTTAGCTGGCCATAATTTCTTTCTATTTCATACGTAGAGATGGGG